CATTTCTTGCACACACTGTACAATAACATTTTTAATCCATCAGCTAGCGCTTCATGTGCATCATTACTATTGACAAGAAAAGTAAGTGACCTGATCTGACTAAGAAGTTCTCTGCAAAAAGAAGCCAATGATTGTTTTGAAAAACATTTTTTGGAATGGTATGAAACTTAGACTCCACCACTTTTGATAAAGAACTCTCACCTTTTGATTTATTTTCTTCAAGAGTTAATTCTTGTTGGCTGTTTTCTTCTTTAAGAGTTAATTTGTGTTGTCTGGTACATCATTAGATAAACTTAGTACAGAGCAGTCCAGATTAAAATATACGGAGTTTGTGTATTGATTGGGTAAAGAATTCCAACATATCCCACCCACCTTCACAAATAACACAATTATGTGCTTCATGATAACATGTGTAGCGTCCAGTCAATGCATGTACATTTTAAAAAACTCTCAGAATTCCCAAGAAAGACATAATAAAGCTGGGAATCAGTACTGCTTTTTAAGTTATATAGCGTATCAGACTCTTTTTAATTTTGCTTAGAGATATAACCATGATCCTAACCTTATAAGACAGTCATCAACAAACTGTTTTGGTTTATTGTGTAACCATGTTTTTAGTGTTTGATTATATTCTCTATAAAGAGAGTGTCGTCTAATATTCTCTTCTATATACCTAATAGTTAAATATATATAAAAACAAAATAAAAAACAATAAACTGAATTGAAAAAAAAAATTATTATAAAAGACAATAGATAGATTTTAGATTAGAGACAGTACTCACTTTTATTCCTTCACATCTACAAATGTGAACCAAAAAAAAAAAGAATGTGATGTTATGACAATATGTTTTTTTAAATAAACAGTAAAACATTATCAAAATAATGTGGTTATGATCATCAATAAATCAAGATCATTTCGAACCTTTTTTATTGATTTTTTTATGAATGTTATGTTTTTTGGTATTAATATACGTTTAAAATAAGATTAGAACATTAATTTCATTAGAAAAAAATTAGCAAATACACGTTTGCCATATAATATATTCTCTGTATACAGAGAATATTTTATTTTTGTTTTGAACTTTTAAAATATGGTTCTTAACTATAGTTGAGAACCGTATTTTAAAAGTTCAAAACTTTCTCATATTTTTTTACGCATGCGTATCTAAGCATAGTGCTTTTTACAAATATTAGTGTTGTTATCAACTTTGACTAAATCGACTAAAAGTCGACTAGTCAAAAATAGTTTACTTAGAAATCGATTAACTCGACTATGGATTTCCTACTATTCGAATAAAAGTCAATTTAGTCGATTAATAATCTTAAAATCCATGTCTTTTTATTCGGTTTATTTTTATTATTATTTTTCGGTTAATTTTTATTTTTCTTTGTTCATTTAATAACAATAATATGTACCGTTATAACTATTATTTACTATTTTTGTTTACTCTCGATTATTTATAGCATGTTAGCCATATTTATGTTTAGGTTACTTATTTCATTAATATTTTTTTTAATTAATTTAATTTTAATGCTTGTGATTTTGTGTTTATTTTATGCTCGTGATTCAAGCTCTTTGTCCTTGGACAAAATTACATCGTGAAGCTGGTAAATCTAAATTTCATCTATACAATACGTGCGGCCGTAGCGCAGTGAATACAGCGCTTGCTTTATATGCAGGAGATCCAGGCTCGAAACGAGCTCTGGATATATTTTCGCGTCACGGTAAGGAAGGAGGCGTGAACTTCCTGGTTATTTAACCGTGGTGCACTGTGACAAGACTGTTAGGTTTTCTTGGGACACCTAAATTAAAAAAAGAAAAAGTTATTTTAAATGATTGTATAGACTTTTGATATTTAGCAAGTATTTCTTACCAGATCATTATTATTGGGGTCTGGTCAAAGCAAAATCATTGGGGTCTGGGAATAAATTGTACTGTTATCGGAGCGGCCTTGCTCTTATTTATTTTGCTCTATAGTTATTTAAACAATATATTAAAATTTAGAAAGCGAATTCCTAGCCAAAAAGTTCTATAGGATTTTTGAACAAAAAACAAAAAAAGACAAAAGTTTGACGACTTTAAGCACTTTTTAACTTGTATTTTAATTTATGGTCTTCAAATTTGGATTAGAGTGGTAAGAGTTCTGGCTCAGAACCCAGAGGTTCGAGGTTCGACGCCAGCTCTAGCCCAACAAGCGACATTGGTACGGAAGGAGGCGTGAACTTCTTGTTAAATGCTCTACCGCGGTGCTCTATGATAAAACCGTAAGGACTTCTGGGAGCACCTAAATACATACAGACATACAGAAAAAAAAAAAAATTTGAATTTTTTTTTATTCTAAATTCTTATAGGATCCTTTAGGACTTTTTCAATAAGGAATATAAATTACTTTATCATTTTTATTACAAATTATTTTGAAAAAAATAATTATTCCTACATTTCGATAAATCGACTTCTAAAGTCGATTTCAAAAATGTAATAGCTAAATTTCAAACATATATATGTTGACAGTCAAAATATAAAAGAGGTAACAACAATAAGCAACTGTGCGATAGTGACGGTGTATTTATGCAATAAAACCTAACGCTAAACCGTTGTTTTCTACAATATACTTTTTACTAAGTACGGTACATATGTGACGTATACGAAATATTATCCGCACATACAGTATCGGACAAAACAAGTGCAACTAAATGATGCTAATTTAGTTTCTTTATATAAAAGTGCTGCATTTTTTCAATTTAGAGAAATAACTATGTAACTGTTTATAGAAACATTCTTCAAGTTTTATTTGTCACAAAGTTTATTATTTGTACACGAAAATTAAAAAAATTATCCAAAAGTATTAAAGAAAACTGATTTCCTTCTGGACAAAACAAGTGCAACTCCACAAAATGTTGACCAAGCTGTATTTCGCTATCAATATTTTGTGGCGAATTCTTTGGCGAAGCCTTGCATCTTCGAGGCATAGATTTGATCAGGTGATCAATGAAACTTTGTGGAGTCGCTACCCAGACCTTTTGGATTTGTTCAAACAGTTGATCCTTATTACGAACACCTTCACAATTAATTCTGCGGTTGACGATATCCCACAGGTTCTCGATAGGGTTGAGATCCGGAGATTGAGGCGGCCAACCCATCACCGACAGGTGGTTGTTTTGAAACCACTGCTTGACTACTTTTGCAGTGTGTTTCTGATCATTGTCTTGCTAAAAAACCCATTTTATTATCATATTCCATTCAGCATGAGGTAACATAACATCTTTCAGGATATTTTTATACATGAAACGGTCCATTATTCCATCGATTCGATGTATTGGACCTAAACCGTTAGCAGAAAAACACCCCCAGACCACTACATAGCCTCCACCATGCTTAACGTAAATCGTAACGTAAATCGAGCCGGTCGACGTACACGGCAAATGCCATCGGTCTATTAATGATGTTGAACTTCGATTCATCACTGAACAGGACAGTTTGCCATTTCTACACATTCCAGTCAATATGAGATGTAGCAAACAGAAGTCTTTTTGTGGTTCATTAGTGAAATCAGCGGTTTTTTGCAGGGCGTCGAGAGAACAATCCGGCCTCAACAGCACGTCGTCTGATTGTTCGGTCTGATACAGGCAGCTCTAAATGCTTTTGTATCTTGACTGATAATATCCAGGGATCCTTCTTGACGGATCTGACGATCATAGAATCCTCTCTAAAAGTGGTGGAACGCGGTCTTCCACCTTTGTTATCTGCTGCCAACTTCCCCGTAGAACGATATTTGGAACAGTTTATTTTTTCAGGCGATATTTATCACAAATACTTTTTTGTGACATTCCGTTTACGTAATCGCCAATATTTTTCTTTCTTAGTTCTAATCCAAGACTGTCGGGAGCCATTTTTGCACTTGAAGTCATAAAAATAATAAAAATAAATAATCACGCTTCTCAAGGCTTACCGTGTAACACATCACATTTACCTTGTGATGATACAATAATGCTCTGTGGAACACGTCTTGGTTGGATGTGGACTGTATTGATGTAATGAAACACTTGTTGTATTTCACTTATTGTATTGATGTTCTTCGATAAAACACTTTGATTTAACTCACTTCGATCAACTATCTTAATAATACTGACTGATTGACTTCTAAATACTGACTGAATTACATGTCGGTTTACATGTTTCTTATATAATAAAATGAACCTGTGTGAACCTGTTCTGGAAGATTCTAGATGCATTTTTTCGATGCTTCTTCTGGAAACTTCTGGAAGCTTCTGGAAAATTTTGGACACTTCCTTTAATTATCAAAAAATTCCCGTGACGTTGACACGGACCAGACTTGAGAAAATAAGACAAACCAAAAAAGTTGCATTTGTTTTGTCCGCTGCAAAATGGCACTTGTCAACAAAATTCAGCCTGTGTTCTGTCACCTGTCAGCTGATTGCTCATGTCATGGCAAGCTATGACTCCAGACTCCTGAACTGTTTGCTGTGGTAGTATAGTTCGTTTCGTTTTTAAGACATGTAAAATTAGGAACACATTTTAGCATTGTTCGAGGTTGGTTGCAAATGTTTTGCCCAATACTGTATATGACTTGGTAAATGGTTTTATTACCACCTAGAGAAGCACACTAATTATTACACCAAGAGTTACAGTTACCAAAATATACAGATTATATTTTTAATATTAACACGTTTATACCAAGCTCATAACACGTTTAATATTTTAACACGTTTTATATCAATTTCTTTAAAAAAGATAAGCACATTCTATATAGGATAACATGATTAATACGTGCATTGTTTATTGTAAGACATGTATTACCAACAGTCAATACTATCGCACCTAAAAATTTCTAGCATCTTTTATCAAATACTAAAAATAAATTTTTGTTTTCAATTTAGGCGCCTTTTAATAAGAGCTAGACTTATTATTTTAAAAACCCTAATGGGCCAACACAACTTTTTACTTTAAAAACCCTAATAAATAATCTCAACAAAACGAGTTTAGTTTGAAACTTAATGTATATTTCCACTATATAAACAAAATGAAGTCAAACACTTCATTCACCATTCATTTTGAAAGATGTCGATCTTTAATGTTCTATAATTAGTTCGGTCATCTAAAATAGTTATAAAAAAAAATTACAATAATTATAAAAAGTATAAATCAATTTATATCTTAAACCTAAATGGTTGCAAAATTTACTACTTCGCATAAAGGATTGTATCAAAATTATTGAACGGTAGAAAAAGTACTACTTTGCATTAAGGATTGTATAAAATTATTGAACGGTAGAAAAAGTATTGAACGGTATTAAAATATTCTGCTGGTCATCATTTCAGATGCAAAATTCAGAAATAAAAAAAGAATTAAATACAAAATGAAATTACTACATTTGCAAAAATAACAAATTAATGTTAAATTGAATTATCAGTAAAATACAATCATAAAGAAGTTAAATGCAAAAATAACACAATTTAATAATGTTAAATAGAAATATTAGTTAAAACTCCCGTTAAATAGAAAAATTCAAACTTTAAATAAATATTTACTTCGGAATAACATGTTGATATTTGCCTTTATAGAAAGGAATATAGCTTGTGATAACTCTCCAATCTGTTAAATATAATCCAAGTAAAGAAGCACCAGTTCCCCATGAAATCAAAGTTGGAACCCTAAACAAAGAAAATAAAATTGAAAAATTTTTTAATGTGAAATGCAGGTAAAAAAATTAATACAATTTTTCATAACGAAATTCTCAATAACAATTGATGAGGCATGATATTAAATGAGGTTGGTTTTGATAACACAGACTAGGGACTAGGGTCGGGTTTGTAGATGGGCTAATTAAATGTGATTAATCATAATTTTTTCGCTGAACTAGTTCTGATAGAACTGGCTGCAAAGCTAGCAGTTTCAATTTTGTCACTTCATCATTACTTACAATCTTGTTTATTTTTTTACTTTTATTAATCTATAAAATAATATTAGATACTGAATACAAGTTTTCGATTGCCCACTTATTTAACGTATTCCAAGATAAAATGGGGATAAATAGTTTCTAAGACTCTTATCATGCTTAACATCATTTTTTAAAAAAACATTAGAAACAAACAATTATAATCAAAAAATGTTGTAATTTGCACTTTCGTTTTTAGTTAAAAAAATGTTATTTTCTATGCAGAAAAAAAACTTTCTGAAAAAGAATTTTTTAGGCACTTAGGAACAGTCATAGTAAAAGGATGAGACTTAATTGAATAACAAGAATGAATTTTTGTAGATGGCAAAAGAGACACTAGCACTTTAGAGCAGCGTCCATTATAACACTTATAGAAAAAAGAAAGAAAAGCAACATTACAAGAATGTAACAATGATCGAAAGTTGGCTGCAAGAGCAGGTTCAACTATGTTTACAATGCGCATTTGCATCTTGTCTAAAAGAGAAAGGGCATCATTTGAAGATCTGCTCCAGATATGGCAACAATATTTAATACAAGGACATATTAGAGATATGTAGAGATAAAGAATAAAATCTGGAGCAAGAAAGTGACGAGCATGATAAAGAGATGCAACCTTAGAAGATCCTTATTTTGCAATTGATTTGATATATGGTTTCCAAAAAAAATCTAGAGTAAGAGGTAATCCTACAAGACTAAGGTGACTCATTAAGTACATTACTGCTCATTAATGTAGAGAGACTTAGAATATTGCAATAACGATTAGTTGAAAAAAATTGGATTTTATCTGAGTTAAAGTTGACCAGCCAATGAGAGACTCATGCTGTTGCAAAAGTGAGATAAATATCTTATATAGTGCATTTTTATAAGCATTTGCTTGCTAATTTTTTTAATCTTTATAGCATACAACTTTTTCAGGAAAAGAAGAAAAATTAAAGAATAATAAAAAAAAAAGATTGCTGCTCCATGCCACACCCTCTATTAATGAAGTGACACACCTATGCGAAAGAAAGCTATAAGATAGTTAATGTATGTACTGAAGCCCCCATCCCTGCCCCAGCAACAGGCTAATTTAGTGTGGAAGCCTTCTAAGGAAGGAGAAGGCTTCCACATAAAATAAACTTGAACAAAATTCCACATATATAAACTTGAACAAAATTCCACATATATAAACTTGAACTAAAATTAAAAACAAACTATCAACTTAAAAGAGAATTAAAAACTAAAAAAAAAAAAAACAACCAAACTAAACTAAAAAAAAAAATAAAAATTTTAACTTTTAAAATTTTAAATGGTAAAATAAATTAAAGATAAACCAGAAAAATAAAAGCATAAAATTACAAGTGTTTCACTTGATAGAAATTAGAAAAGATCAAAGTTTCAAAATTCCAAAATCCAAGTTTAATTACCTCGAAACTTATTTAAAAAATTGAAACTTTGATATATTTTAGTATCTAAAAAGAAAATAGAACATGAAAAAAAAATTAATTAGTTAATAGGATATGGACTCTCATCCAACCTTGAACAAACTGCCCTGCATCATAAACATAACAATAAATCAACCTAAGTGCTACACGAAGATAGTGATGTAGTTAAAATTATCAACTCCAAAATATTAAGCTAAATGTGAATTAACTTAAAATTAACTTTATACTTTTATTTCATTAGGTTTATTCTTTTTGATCTTTTTTTTGTAAAGTTTATTTCTCTTTAAAGCTTATGGTTTCTTTGTTTTTAATTTTTTCTTTAATTTAATTTAGTTTTTTTAGCACATTATTTTAACACGCTAATTATAAAAACATGCGAAAAACATATTCAAGTTGTTAAAAAATAATATTGTATGCGTAGTCATATCGCAATTTCAGGCTTCTCCTGAGCATGCTTAAGTGTGATGTCACCATGTTTATCTAAACATCTAAATGCTAATCAGCCTTTAGAATTAGGAGAAATAAGGCAATTTATCGCTAACCTCATTTTACCTAATTCCATAAAACTATATTGAGTATTAGCAAATTATATCTGTCAGCACAAGAGTTGCGACACTTCTTTCTGAACCAGCCTGCAGTTATGAAACACTTCTTTCTGAACCAGACTCCAGTTATGAAACACTTCTTTCTGAACCAGCCTGCAGTTATGAAACACTTCTTTCTGAACCAGACTTCAGTTATGAAACACTTCTTTCTGAACCAGCCTGCAGTTATGAAACACTTCTTTCTGAACCAGCCTGCAGTTATAAAACACTTCTTTCTGAACCAGCCTGCAGTTATGAAAAAAAATCAACTTAATACTTCTAGAAATGTTCACAGACTGTATGACTACTACTTAAAGCACAAAAAATATGATTGTATGCAGAAGAGAAGGACAGCTATAGTTCTAAGTATCAACACAGCAAGCAAGTATCCCAACAATTGATAAAAAGATTGTAGTAAACAGTATACAGAAATTGATTGATAAAGTTAATGACCATGGTAAAAATCCCAGTTCTAAGAAGACATCTGTCATTAACCAAGACTGTTTAAAATCATTACAAACTGTATTTGATATATGCACTTGTAAATGTGTCGACAGCAGTGCACAAGAGAATTCATCATGTATTTGTCCACTGTTGCATAAAAAAACTCCAACAGAACGGTCTTTCTCGTTGGACTAAAAGATTGGAGATGAGAGCAGTCAAATGTTTGAAATTTGAGCGCGATTAGAAAATGGAATATGAGACAAAAGCAAGGAAATGGTTGACAAAACACTTAAAAAATTGAAGGTTGTATGAGTCAGGAAAACATGAAGATGGGAGAGAGTTCTAAAGCGTTGAAGTGCAGGAAAAAAAACTAAACCAATAAAAAATTTTTAGAGCATGTAGGGACAGATACAGTAAAAGAATAAGACTCTGCTAAGTGACGAGTCAAGCGAGATTGAAATTTAGTTGATGGAACTAGAGTTAATACCTCCTTTGAGCAGCAACCATGATAAAATAAATAACCATTTGTAGAAAAGAGATGCAATTTTACAACGATGGGAAAGAGACTAAAGCTAAGCAGAAAGAGCTGGTTCAACTTTGTTTACAATGAGTTTTTAGACCTTGTCTAGAAAGGAAAGAGCATCATTACTGCAATAGATTGGTTGCCTGTTGACATGTTAACCTATAATAAAATTTAAAAAAATTACATGCACCCCCTATTACCACTTCTGGCTATATCTGAAGTTAATATATAATAATAATAAAATAATGATTATAAACGTTAAAGTTCTAGATATTATCAGTTCAATAAAACAACATAAGAAAATGTAGTTTACAAAAATTCTTATTTACAGCTAACACTAGGTAAATTTGTTGTGGATGTATAATCTGTAAAATCATCTCATGTTGCAATTTATGTCCTAAAACTGTTAAGCTTGTTGCAGAGATATCTTGAATAGCATGCTCAACTGCTTGAGAATGACAGGGTATACCAAAAAAGGAATCAAACTGAAGGTGTTTTCATTCTCAATAGCTGCTAGCAATGATTGTGGTGTGAAGTCAGCTGCCGTCCTGTCAATCATATCAACGCAAATCCAAGCTTGGCTTATCAAAAACAGGCACAGATGAACTACACAAGTTACTTCTTAAATTAAATATTTTGTCACGACATAAATGTTGCACAGAATCGTCATTGTCATAAACACCAAAAAAAATATGCCATTTAGGACATAAATTGCAACATGAGATGATTTTACAGATTATACATCCACAACAAATTTACCTAGTGTTAGCTGTAAATAAGAATTTTTGTAAACTACATTTTCTTATGTTGTTTTATTGAACTGATAATATCTAGAACTTTAACGTTTATAATCATTTTTTTTATTATTATTATATATTAACTTCAGATATAGCCAGAAGTGGTAATAGGGGGTGCATGTAATTTTTTTTTTAATTTTATTATAGGTTAACATGTTTATGACACCCCTTCCCCCCCCCCCCCCTCCATAAAAAAAAAAGAAAAAGATTATTCTTGCTGGCCCTGGGTATGGCCTTTGGATCATAGTAAGTGCTATTATGAGTTTCTATTTATTTTAGCTGTAAGCCTTTTATAGGTAAATTTTTAAAAGAAATTTACAAGTACAAGACAACTGTTATTTTAAATTTTTTGACTTTTTTTACAATAAGTAGCACATATAGCAACTTTCTTGATCATAGCCAGTTTTTTAATGTTTATAAAAAAGAAAAAAAGATAAATTTTAAATGTTTATAAAAAGCAAAGTACTTATTTTTATTTTAAAATTATAATTATTTAATATTTAAATATTTTTATTTGGTAAAACAAGTTTTTATATAATTTTTTTTATAATTAAAAAAAAAATTTTTTTTTTTATGTTTTTATTTTATATTTTAAATTAATATTATTTATATCTACTATTGCATATTTATGTAAGCATTTGCTCACTTTTTTTGTTTACCTAAATTAATACAACTTTTTTAGAAAAAGAAATTAAAAATGTAGAATAAAGAATGAAAAGATTGCTGCCCCATGCCAAACTCTTCGTTGATGTAGCAGCACTTTGCTGCGAGTCAGGCTTTCAAAAGTTTTGAATATATTAAGTATTTTAAATATTATTAAGTTTTGCTGATAATCTGATAATATTAATACACTAATTTAATAGTAGTAATAGTCAACTTACGTCATTTTCTAGGCTTTTCCTATTTTAAAGTAGTTTCTAGACTTTTCGATACGCGTTTTTTTT